CATTTAAGTCTGGAAGAAGTCCCTACTGCGCCTTCAGTTTTCCTTGTTGTCAAATTGAGCAGTATAAAACGGCGGAATAATTTCCGAAACTTGAACAAAGTTCAACTATTAGCTTCAGGACAGCCAGGTTTCAATGGACACGAACGCAGCGATCACTGTACGAAGAAATCATATTTATAAGGAATAAAACATTGCAATCAGATTGATAAAGATATGTGTACAAATACACGTTGCGTGCACATGCTTTATGTTGCACGAAGCAAACATCAAAGCCTATTAATGTCCAATGAATCTAATTTCCCGTAATAAATTTAAGGCTTATACCAAGGCTCCCATTCGAAGGTCTCAGAAGCGGTGCACAAATATGCTGCGCATGTACTCTGCATTAAACCGTGGAAGAACTCGTTGTAGCTATCTTTTTCGTAGGAAATTAGAAAACAAACATATTTCTAAAGCAAAGTGCATCAATGTACAATTGTTGTCGCAGTAGTGTTACATGAGCCAGAATTGTCGCTTGAAACAGACAATAGATGAATAAAATACACACAAGTGACTACATCGTTTTTCCTGTCATATTTAGAGCTTTTTCGGTCGCGTCCGTTCAATTAAGACACAAAAATTAGCATCGCCGGCTCCATGACGAAGACAAACGGCATATTTGAAGCCATGTAGGGAAATAACAGTACGAAATTTAGTAATTGTCTTCGTTACGACTCGATTTGACAGCTTCGTTCCAAAGTCATTATGCGGAAATTACCGAAACTATCTTCGCTCCTTGTTTAGAAACATACTTAACCAACAGAAGAAGATTTATCTGACGGATCTACGTGAAAAACGTTACCAAAAACGGCGGGATGATAAACGTTTTTAGCGTACTGGTCCGCAATAATTAGTCTATACTTCACACATGTATTTGTAGTTGCAGTGGCAATGTATGCCGGAATAGCTAAGCTCGTACTGTCGTTGCGTCATTTCTAGACACGAAACATTGGATATCGGCCCCAGTCACCGCTTAACCGTTTACGTTGGTAAGTGGGACCGTAAAACATTCCCCCTTGAATATCAAAATATGAATTATTTCTTGTCTGTTTAATATAATAATAACAATATAATTGACCCAGAGCCGCTTGTTAATGGGTGCGTTGTGTACAGTTATTTCTTTTTTTGTGCAGCCGTTTGAGATAGAGGACGTAACTGTCAGCTAAACTACCAAGAAACAGCAAAGTTGGGTTCATTCGTTTAAGGATAATGGCATTATATGAACCCGTCCAAGTACGTACAAATTGGCACGTAGCCAACATAAAGAGAAACATCCATTCGAAAAAAAAAAAAAAATATGACAAAATAAACAGAAGTACGCAAAAAGAGGTGATAAGGCAGAGGTACAACTCGAATCCGTACATAAACGTCAATTGCACGCAGAGTAACGCTTAAGTGGGCCGTTGCTACCTTCTGTGATTGAAATCAGCCAGCTTTTTCATACAGCGATAAAACATCTCATAGACTACCATGGCGATGTACTCAAATCCAAAAAGTATTTTTCGCCTGAATAGGTTACGTACCGGGGCTTGCTCTCTTTGTTTGTAATGTAACTTGAATGAAACGAAGGAGCAACTCTGTTGAATGGTAGCAATAATCAATTTGCCAGCTACTCATTAACGGCAAGGCCTTATTATATTCATTGATCTACTTTATTTTGTTTATGAATGGCCTAGCGTGAAAACCATATCAGTGCCTGACAAGCTGGAATCGAGAGATTTGAGATTACCGTTGAGAACATTACGCATCGCTCAGATAAGACGTTCTGAAACTAAAAGGCCATAAACGGAACGAATGAATGAATGAATCATTTCGCCTTTTAATCATTGAAGATTGGTGTAGGATGTATGATGCAGGCCGTCGGCACGTCTAAACGCGTTGGCAAGTGTCTCTTTTATACTGAATAACGAAAAAAACAGTAACGGTTTTCAAGCCATACCGGAAGCAAGTATTTTTTTATATTAAAAAACAACACTAATAAACTAAATATGTTCTCTTTTTATCGATGACTTTTTGCCACTTTCGTAGTGACGCCATGGTCCCGTCCCTGTAGAATCTACATGATTTTTTGGCGGAAATTTGTGACCAGTGACTTTTTAATCCCTCTATTGGAATGCTATTAGAAAAGCTTTGCAGAAATCGAAATAGATCGTGATCCAGTGGTGTAAGATCCAGCCTATATCGCACATACGTTCAAATTTACCGTCCAAGCTCTCTGAGTTTTTGTCTAGCCGCTAAAGACGCGTGTAGTCATTTGGAAGTCGTGGTAAAAGACTACGGTACTTGTGTACACTAGAGGATTTTTTAATGGCTTGTAGTAGTGGTCTGAATTAATTGTTTTACCAACCAACAGCAGCTCATATCGCGCGATTCCTTTCCAATTCTACCCAATGCATGGCATCACCCTCTTCGGCGTAGGTTCGGGCTTTATCATGGATTGTGGAACTGTTCTGCCTACCGATTGTAATATTTTTTGCACATCATTATCGTATTTGTCATTACCGTTTTTTTAGAGTTTCGCCGACGAGTATATGATCATCTAAGTTCTTTGATGCCAATTTCTGTCGAACTCGAACGTCTAGGCTTTTTTTTCCTATGGTTTAAACCTGTTTGGTGATAGATGTTTAGATCATTAGCGGTTTCATGGCTACTCGCTCAACTTTCGCTAGAATTTTACAAACTTTTTCGTAATTGTGACCGCTACGAGGAGCATTCAGTGCACAGAAATGCTAACAGAATCGACAGAACCACTTTCAGACCGATTTTCCTAGAATGCCCCTTGGCCATGAACAGCGTAATTTTTTTCCTAAGCCAGCACAGTTTGTACGCCTCTATCGTAATATAATTGTAAACGACAGCAAATATATGCATAGAAATTCTATTCACGTTAAAATACTCTTACCTAAAAGTTAGCCCTTCCACTAGCTTTATCCCATTGACAACTTCCTGACAAATGACACCAACACCGATGTACATGATGCGACTCATATTGATTGCCTGACATATCTGTCCTGAAAATCATGTGGCTAGAAAAAAAATCAGCACCCTATCGAGCTTTGTCGTTGTATCAAAAGCTAGATATACTTAGTGGGATCCCTCGCTGGTGTGTGAGCATTACTATTCTCCCTAAGGGAGCTAAGTGAGCGTTTCACATCCCATTTTCGTGGGCCTTTGTCTTATCAAATCATTCGGTATACTTTAGAGTCTGTCATTTCGATGATCGAAATCGATTTAAGGAAACCCGTAAGTGTTCTCATGTGATTTATTTTTCAAAGGTATTTTTTCGCCGCCGATAAATCCAGAGTGTTATCGTTACGGTCATACGAAAGCGAATATGCCTTGACGATTTTACCCATCGAATGAACTGAAAGGATCCTTTTTAGTCGAAGCGGTTGCTGATTTGTGTACACCTTAATAATAGAGTCATTAAATGACGAACGGACATGTGTGTATGCTAAAATGGAACATACATACAGATTTTTCTTATTGCATGACAAAAACAACTTACTACGAATGATCACAAAAAGTTTCTCAAATTCGGCGAGCTTGTACGAAGTTCCGTTCGTCCGGGAAGGTTCCTCTAAGATCTTGTGGGGACGTCCGTTCCGCACAACGAGCTAAAGGACGCTTGCCAATATTGAGAGAACTCGTATTTCGTGTTTCACTAATTAATCAAAAGCGAAAATTCAAAGGGCCAATGTATTGATGTTTTTAAATAACTAAATACAAGTTAAACGTTGTACAAAATGGCGGATGTTAAGGATGTGTGTTTTACTTTTCTCGAAGGAGGCTGATCCAGCCTGAAAGTAGCCTAGCTAAAGGCTACATGTCAGGTATAGCATAAAGAAACGATTGATAAGCCTAATATTGTGATCGTCCTATAAATTCACATTAGATTTTTACCAAATTTTCAATGAAAAGAACTACGTTCCGAGACAACTTTAGCCCATGTATTGGCCGCTACTAGCAATGACCCTGTCGCATATTTCAGGCAGCTTTTCACTGAAAATTTTTCAGAGGTTAGTATCATTGTTTGTGATCTATTAGTCAGTATGCATCCTTTGAACGTATACAATGTTCCATGTTAAGGGCGTTCTGCAAAAAAAAAGCGATAATAGGAAGGGGTACGGTCAGGACTATTAAACGAACAGGACAGGTCATTCCATAATAGGTCACGGCAGATGTGTGAGACTGGTGTTGCCATGCTGAACCATGAGGAATCGTCAAATCTATGCTTGATTGCTTTGGTTTCTAGATGTCTTGCTAGATGTTTTCGAACGATCGATTTGGATGCCAGTAACACGGATCTGTTCTTATAGACTACAGTGTGACGAAATTTACAAAACAAAAGAAAAACGAGACAATTGGTGCACGAATGTTGCGAGCTATCTATGAATACCCCTCTGTAATCAGGGTACCTCAAATTATAGAATTCTTCTGATTGATCTTGCAGCCATTGCCAGTGTCTAGAACATTAGCGAATAATCATCATTTCTCATCTCACAACTAGAGTTGAGGAACGCTTTACTGCCTAATGAAGTTCACTCAAAAATGAACACTCTAATAGTACATGAAGCCGTCGAGTCAAAGGAAAAAGCTAGATCGTTTACTTCTAAAATACATTTATTTTTACTTGTGTAATCAAAATATTATCTGACATTTATTCCTTATCCCGTAACCCGAATGTCGTTTGATTTTTGGTGATGCTGTCACATCCCAGTCGTCTGTACTCGATGTAAAATCGAAAAAAGTAGTAAAAAAAAAAACCAACAATATCTCAGACCTCACGTTATGACACGCTTGAATAACTACGTCAGTCCTTCTGTCGCTGTTTTGGTAATGTTGGAAAGATGTTTGTGTGTATCGTATACGTTTATTCAATCGGCCACATTTTTTTTGCAAAACACCTATCAGCCACATGGTTGCACATATATATGGACAGGATAGAGCGAATAGCATATAATAACAAATATTTTTCCCTATATGAATATAATTTCACTCATCAACATGGTAATTATCATCATTATTACATAGAATATTATACGGTACACTGTGTATCACATTCGCACAGCCATCTACTATAAGACAAAGGCGCTGAAATGCAAAGTTGACCGAACCTGGTAATGAATACGACATTTATCAGTAAAAGATATCGGGACTCTATGAACTATCTATGATTTTTCTACTAGAGATGTAAAAACTTTTCACAAAACACAAAATTTTCATTGTACAAGCTATCAGTTTAGTAACTTTTTCGCATCTCTTTTTATTACTATTATCTCGTGCCTATATTCCTAACATAAATTATCGAATTTGTCTGTCTATAGACAATAGCGTGTTGTAAATATTTGAAACCGCAATTTACATTAAATCCGCCCATTATTACCACTCCCTGATACAAAAGTCAAAAACGAGCTGAGCTATTAAACTTTAGCTCTCTGTTTTATGTTTATTATGATTATTTAATAAGGCCATGAACATCCCTCTGGCTCATGCGGCTCACGGCATTTATAGACTCTGCGAAAGGTCCTCTCTCTCTCTAACCCTAATATTTTAGGGGGTGAATGCGTAGCACGTGTCTGTTCTATGATTTTTGCGACATTTCATATACGAACAAGATCACATATTGCGTCAATTGCTCGGCGACCAAAGAGTGCGTGGCCAGAATTAGGTCTCAGAATAGACAGTAGAAAACTAACGAAACTACGACAATAGTCACTCTTTCGCGTTAACGATCGTAAACAATGGAAGTGTGATCCGTATCTGTAGAGTGCCTATATTTCCTACCTTATTTGTCATTCACACTTGTCGACAGGATGTTATTAGCCTTATTATATTTCGAAATCCGCATGATTCCCATATGCAATCGACTTAGTACATCGTGGGACTCGATCGGTCCTATTGAATTTGTACACGATGAGCGGCACGACTCCATCAGCTGCTGAAAATGGAATAGTGGTACCAGATGATCGACTGTTCATAGAAGCCAGTTTATTTTGTTTACTGAAGGTAAACTTGCTGCCTGTGGGAAAACGATGTCCTATGAGGTCCGAGTCGTGCCCTCAGGGAAGATATTGCCGACACGCGACGAGTCTGGCCTAGACTCGGATCTTGCAATCGTTGATCTGCTGTAGGAGATGCTGATCGATTCGAATGTAGGCCTCATCCTTGAGGAAATAGATGGGGTCCTTGGTCAGATTAATATCGAAGCCCTCCTTCTGCAGCTCGACCTTTTTCAGCTTGTATGTTCCTAAATAGTGAGACAGCGTATTCGTCATATTAAATATTAATGCAAAAGACCTAATGTTAATGCTATTGTTTTATACCAAAAACACCCTCCATTAGCTACGAAGGCCCTTGTAGACGCTGACCAAGCTCCAAATTATTAACGAATAGCGGCACAGCCAAATATGCGCGCCGATTTCAACCAAATAATGTCGTGATACATGGCTGTTTGAGAATAGATTAACACAGAAACGTTGCAATGTACCGTACAGAGCAGTAAACTTTGTACTTTTTATAATCTAAAAAAATAAAGGCTTTAGTATAAGCATGAAAATATTAACTAGCTTACAAACCTGTCGTGTCGACCTGACGGAGTTTTCGCACGAAGAGTGGAACTGCGTATGCGGGCAGTGAGAGACGAATCTCGGAGAGGAAGTGATTCAGGTCAAAGGCATCGTTAGCATCTGCAACGGCGATCATTCCTGCGCGACCCTCAGAACCAGGAAGTGGTACTCCATAGCAAACAACATCCACCATGTTCAGAATCCTTGCACAAGATCAAAAAGACATGTACAGAAGTTAGGTTTGCCCTAAGTCATTAGAAGAGGCTTATGTAGAACAATTCAGCCATACTTATGGCCACGTCTGATGACCACCGAACAAAAACTTCGGCTATCGAAAACAGCATTATACAGTCAGTACGCTTCAGCAGATCAAATAGGAATCGAGCTTGTTTAAATGTCGGTTATCTGAGAGCGAATGTAGCGGGTTGCTCTGAGATAAACGTATCGCGCTACAACTGATATGGGCGTTAGCTGAATTAATATGACCTTAAAGAATTGTGCCAAATAACGGCCATCTATTTACTTTTTTAACATTTTCTAGAATGACAATGATAATTTGCTAAACTGCTAGTCTTCAGCCAGTCTTTCGTCTCCCCGCCATATGAATCCGCTCATGGATTTTATTGCTTACTAAGTACCTCTTCATAAAGTGGCCAACGTGCAACATTCATGCCGAGCTACTTATACAAAGGCTTTACAAGAGGTTTAAATTCCGTCATGATAGTACCCGATAGGCAATCGTGCAAGTATGTAAAGGTCACAGTCATCGTTGGCTCGCCCTTGCATGCTGTTCACATTTAGTTAAGCGTCACAACAAACAAAAAGTGGTAACATCAAAAAATACAAGACGGCCTAACGTGCTTTAACAGCATGAGAATCTATTAGACTGCCCGAGGATGTTGTACAAGGGATTGAGGCAGCTGAAATACATTCTCCAGGAGAGAAAACTCGATACTCCATTGACACATTGAAATTAGGATCGTAAATGAAACGCTTCAGTGGTAATGAAGAGAGGACGCCACCCCACAACAGTCAATTGATGTGACGCTTTGCCCCATTTTCCACCTAGGTTAGCTGACGCGCAACCCATTTTGCGCAGCATCGGCTCTTTCTCTATTCCCCATTCAGTTGTCGATTGCCTCTTTCTCTGTTCGCCTCTCCTGTTTTCAGGTCCAAAGGCACGGTAAGGACAAGCAGTTCCTCCCTGCTGATGTCAGTTGATCAGAAATTTACACTTCCGCTTTGGCGACAGCGGCTATAGAACTCTACGGGGAGGATGTGTCAGAAAATTCCAACATCTTTGAAGCAATCGTCGCTCGTTTCATCCTTTTTCATGCCGCAATATTCATTGAATCCTAGTATTCGGACATTCTTTCCTCAGTTATGCGCCGAAACGGTTCAGGTCGATCAAATATTTTACACTACGTGTAATCAACCAGAAGAAATAACTTTATCCTTACCGAAGCAAATCTATTAGATGAAATATATAATGTATATATAGGACATGTTGTCATCGATATACGGAGACATTTTTCGAGATTGAATAGTTTTCAAGGCCCGATAAACCGCAGTGTGCTGGCAGTCAACAACTCTTTATTCTCCGAAGTATCGAAAATACAATAAATTTAAATCTATTGACCTTTTTGCCTAAAAAGCAACAGAGAACGCGCCATCACTTGCGCGTCGTGGCATTCCCTACACACCATCTTCTCCGTCTTTGCATCCGACTCTCCGAAGTAGACTCAGATCACTTTGATATTCTGTAATACAAATATCGTGTACTAAAATGCAAATTGGTATTATAAATCCGTTGTCTCGGTCAGACAAAACGTCCGTTTTTAGAATTTCCAAGTTTTTAGAAGAGCGTAGACGATTGCATCCAGTATCCAAAGTAGATGACTGCCTGTTGTGAGCGTCCGTTGCTGTCTGAACATTCATCTACCTCCGAAGTGGCGCAATTTTCAATTTCAGCAAAGGTCCCACCACCGCTTACGTCTTATTCGATGCCTGGTTGCTCTACCATTACTAGCAGCGAAATTGTTGCTCCATCGAGAGCAAACTCAACATTATTTACGCTGCCCTATAGTCATCAAACATCCGCTAATAACCGGACGAAAACGAGCACGCATAGGAGAAAACGGGCAAAGAAGAAGAAGCGTAAAGGGAAATTTCACTGTCAGTGAGATTTGAAAATGCCGCCCAAATAAGTGCGTCACACAACAACTCAATCCTCTTTGCAGGCACCAATGCAAAACATGCCGATATACTTGCGAATGAAAAGTTATTATTGCTTGCACTAGTATCTCTAAAAAATGTTCAGAGTTCACATGAGAAGGGTGTTAAGGGCCAAGTTAAAGAGCTCGTACTTCTACGGTTACTACGCTTATAGCGACCAGACCGCAGAAAAAAACGGGTCCCTTATTACAGTTATATACTTACTAAAACAGTTATACACACAGTTATAAGGTTACAGCCGTCTCAACCACATTCTCTAACACATACTGGCATTGGTGTGTTTTATACGTTAGCATAAGATTAGTCAAAAGTAGACGGGAAAAACCAAAGTTCAACGGTATAAACTCCCAGCTCAACTGACCTCGCTGCTATTCCTTCGACTTCCGATGTGGAGACGTTTTCACCCTTCCAACGAAATGTGTCTCCGGTGCGGTCTTTGAAGAACAAATATCCAAATTCGTCCATAACGAGCAAGTCACCTGAGGCAAAAACAGCGTCATCTTTACGAAAGACGTCGCGGTACATCTTTTTTGATGTCGCCTGCTGAGATGCATATCCATCGAAAGAATGGATATGATCGTTCACCCGGATAACCTGTAAGAGTAGGAGAGCTTTGAGCAAAGCCAGCTAAAACAATGAAGCAATACCTCCGTTATACAGAATTATCACATATGCACACAGACATAGACAGCCGCTGTTATCAAGTATGATAGTAACACGCTATCCTATTGTGATCTTGAAACTATTACAATTCAACTTGGCAATAAAACTGACCTAAACTTTCAAACCGATAAGAAACACTTACCGAAAAGGCTGGCATTACACTAAATGGTATTCTGGTATTCATCCAAGTGAAAAGTAAGGCATTTCATTTTCTACAAAAATGTAGCTAGTACACCTCAGCAGGCTCAACAGCTGGTCATAATGAGCGGCCACACGACCTCGAGAGTTTTAAATAGGCCAAAGACAACCGACTGTCATGATTAACCAACACAGCTTCGCGTAGGGGAATTTTTGTCAAAGCACTCCCTAAACGCACCTTTCTGAATACATAGACAATTTTTTTTTTATTATTCATTTACCATTTTCAATTATGAGCTGTATGTGAACAAGTCCTCGGAATCACTTATTTTTACGTGTGGCGTTAGTGACTTGGCCCCATTGGTAGCTGAAAAGGACTTATCATGATAAGTTTTTCCAACAGATACATGGAAACTGTATAAAGAGCAATACCTTATTTTCCCTATTTGTTCCTTTACTCCTTATCTTCCACGTAATTAATTTTTACTGATCATTTTTTCCAACGCCCCGATTTGAATCAACACAGCCAGGTGCCTTTTAGTTATGGTTACTATGGGAACGCGCCCAAAGAGACGTGAATTAGCCACTCAAACCTTGCCATTCCAATAAAATGTTGCCTTACTATAATCTTAAAAGCTGGCTAAACTAAAATTGACAATAAACTAATAAAGAAGGGGCTGACAAGACATTTAATAAAATTCTAATATTAATCTGTGTGAAGAGTAATCCATTCGATTTTATATCAAACTGTACTAATAATGCTCTACGCTCGGTCAATAATCAGTAACTGTTTACAAGGGTTTTCAACACAAATATGATGATTAACGAAGATAGTCTTCGACACGGGATTTTTTTCACGACACGTTTCAGAGCACGTGCTTTGACGTAGTCTATGGTATACCAAGTTTGAGACCCTGCACCTAAAGCATCAGCACATTATACGATTTTTCGTATTATCTCTTTTTATTACGTCTCCTATGAGTTTGATTACGAGAAGAACTGATTTGTTTATTTTAAAAAACAAAAACAATTTTAGCTCACTGTTTGCAGGATTTCACCGTGCAAGAAGAATTTTACAAATGATTTTAAAACGCTAGATCAGTATTATAAGCCATGCGAAATGCTGATTCACCTAGAAATATGGTGGAAAAAGAAAGCCATGACATTGACACTACACAACTAAAAGACCATGAAAAATTAACATCAATTAACTTCAGGAATAACCAGGAACAAATCTGCCAAAAACCTAACCATGCAGATGTTGAAACCGCATTACTCACATGCCCACCGTAAATATGGGAAGCCAAAAAGAAGCGTTTCGACGAAAAACAAAGAAGAGACCTATATCGCAGGAAGCCAACTCACGTCCACAGATAAATATTTATCGTAGTTCCTACACGGATGTGCAAATTTGCGACCATTGGAAACTCATCTACCTGATTTTTTGTTTCCTTTTGCGGATCGGATTCATTCCTGGCTAGAATGTAAACAGCGCCCTCTGGTGCCGTTGTCTGGATTCCTCCCTATTCATTTTCAACCGCAGGTTACTTAAAGATATGTGTGTTAGCCACCTTTTTTTTGTTAACAAATGACTCGCTTCCTTCTTAGGTCAACGACCTTTTCGCCAGGACAAAAAAGGGTCAGTTTAAGAACGTTATAGGTAACATAAACAACGAAAACGAAAAAAGTTGACGATAACGACGCGTTAATTGTGGGCAGCGTAACTGATGGAACGAATGGATGAGTGCTCATTGTTGTAGCCGCCGTTTGAAACAACCATACGTTCGATATGGGATAGATGGTACTTCAGAAAGCAGATACTCAGCATCCACTGGGTGGGTCCAATTCTGCTTATACGTATCAAATACACTCAGCAAAAAAAAACGGCTTTTGTTAAAAAAAAAAAAAAAAAAAAGTAAAATATACCGAATGCGTAACTCTAGATATCAGCAATATATGCTAAAGCCAATTATCGAAAGCATAAGACATAATAAGGCGAGAAGCTTTTTGCTCACTCCTAATAGGATCTCATTAGATACAAAAAAAAGTCAATGGACAGACCATGCTACTCTATCAGATCTAAAGTACTAACAATCTACCTGAAACATAAGGCCTTACGTTCAAATGACCATACAAACTGATCTAATAAGAGCGCGGCATGATAGGAATTGACTGATCGTTCCTCCTACCGGAGCAGATCACCTTTTCTAGTCGAAAGGCAAAAATGACGTCAAGTTACGAGGAGCACTCTCTACTGGACAGACTCGAACGACATTGCAATACATATAATTGCGCCTTTTCTTCTATGTGTTATTTAGATCAATGGACATAGGATCACAATATGAATGCTTTTTGTCGTATAACTTGATTTATTAGAGCTCATTAATATAAGAAGGTACATCTTATTAGAACAACAGGTACCTATCAGATTAGTTGAACTTATTACCTAGAGCAGTTAGAGACGTCCTCCTATAACAAACTAAAGCAGAGATGAACTTACACCAACTAATTCGCCGACTTGGCCTGGTTGACACGGAATGCAAAGGCCCTTGCCATTTCTCATCGGTAGGCCTGTAGACTCATCGATTCTGATTAGTCGAACAGGATGAACGTTTTCGGCGATGCGGGACACAAATCCAACTGCTCCAACAGTATTGTCAATGTTCATTACGTGTGCGTTACCCTCCGTTGAGCCGTAAAATTCGCGAAGGTTCGTAATGTTGAATCTAATTGATTCACAGTAGAGCAAAAAAAGTAAAAATTCACAGTAGAAAAAAAAAGGCAGCGCTAACTCTGGTTACTATTACGATATATGACATCAAGAACAATACGAGTGGCCAATAAATATCTATAATACACCTTGTACGTGCGTAGCGTAAGTGCAGAGTCCATATTAACAATAGCTAGTAATAAAAGGGTCGAAAAACGAAAGCAAGGTTCATGTGGCTTATTAAATTATGCGAGACAAAAAAATACACAGAACAGACAAAACAGAAGTAAAGTGATAGAAAACAAAGCTGTTTTCACTATACATCTAGCTTCTCTTAACGCTGGTGTGCGAAAAAGCAGAATAAACATCACAAGCGACTTTTCCCATGACATACTAGTCAACGTACATGTAGCTTGCGTATATATCACATAAAAACACATGTAAAATTTCTTTAGGTTATACAAAAAGTGAGACACGTATCCGCTTCTTTCATCTGTGCAGAAAAATAGCACAGGGAACCGACAGTATTATTATTATTATTATCTACATAAGCGTAATAGGACTAAAGGTCGTGAGGTATCGTAATACAAAGTAGAACATTTAACCCAATAGTTCATACTAACCGTTGTGAGAATTCTGTCCAGATCTGCGGCCGGAGACCGTTTCCGAACATCATCCGAATGCGATGCTGCTTATCTTGCGGTTTCTCCGGTTGTGCAAGAAGGTAACGGCAGATCTCACCAATATATTGGGTAACAGTTGCCTCGTACTTTATACAATCGTCCCAGAATTTAGAGGCAGAAAATTTTGGCCGGATACACACCGTATTGCCTAAAAAATACAAACCCATTCGTTCTTTTATGTCTATAGAAGTTTTCTCTACATAACAAGTACATGTCGGATTCAGTGATCTAGTAATGCGCACTATCCAATAACAATCAAAGCAAAAGTGGGAAGTAGCATAAATCACGTAGAAAAACCGTCACTCGTTCTATATGAAATTCTCTTAATTTCGCTTAAGTTTTTATAAGACGTTCAACTTCTGCAAAAGATATTGTAATCAAAATACGGGCACTGAGTGCAACGTAAATCGACTTGAGGCCAGTTAAAAACGTGTGTCACATAGTTTGCAAAACTCTATTCACCAAAAAAGCTCGCTTGGAGCATATGATCGGTCCAGACGAGGTATGGTTCTATCTATACTGCCAGCCAGAACGTGGCGAAAGTCTGCTATCGCCGTGGAGAGAAATGGAGTTCGGTCTGCCGAATATCAGTGATGCTAGTACTTGCCATGGACATCAGAGACATTTGCTACTATGAAATAATGAATGCAGCCCGCCACCTCGAGGTCCACGAAAAACCAGTGGACTGTTAACACAGTATCCAAAAGCACGCAGTCTCAGTATTCTCTGACTTAAGCAACGAAATATCTAACGTTAGCTCCAACGGGCCCGCTCTCAAATTTAAATTCGTTTATTTATAAGCTTCCCGCGACCTAAGACGGCCAATTGGTGAGCAAACGTATCTCAGTCTCGATTCGCTTGGAGAAACCATAGACATAATGAAAACGCACATGGTGGTTTCGGACAAGTTGTCAAGGAGTTCGGAGAGATGTGTGAAAACCTCCAAAAAAAACCATCACTCTAGCCCGACTAGTCGAAAGGTTTTATATACTAAATTAAATAAGTTCTGGCCCATGAGCCTTAGCTCAGAGGACTAATATAGGAGAAGGGCCCCAACTGTCCTATTATTCTTTTCATTATCACTAAATATATTAACTAAAATAAGCATAATAAATGCCTGTTTCTTAGAGTGCATACTGGCGGACTCGGCTCATCTAGCCAAAGTATCATTCACTAACAATAACATGGATTAACTTGTTTGTTGTCTCTGACTGAAGTTATGAAGGAATGAATAAGTTCCGCCAAATACGAACTAATGGTGTAGGCCGTCCTCACGGGTTCGAATCACGTATGTTGCTATGTCTCGTCAATAATCCTTTTGCGGTAAATGCATGTACGTGATCACCGGCGCGAATTTTATTAGATACACTCCAGCAGATACTACTCTCGTCGAGCGCTTAGAAGGCGTTGAGCTTTTGCGTATACTACTTCGCTTCTGCCAACTTCATTTTGGTCTGTACCCCTTGTGGTCGACTTGGTTCTATTCAGTTTGATGCGTCTTAGAAAAACGCAAGCAGACAAACAAGGGAGAAAACAATAACATCAAAAACATGACAACTAACAAAAGTGACTTATTAATAAGATTGCTCAGTTGAGTTAACAGAAAACGTTCTTTAGGGCATTTAGCTCCTTGAGCTGAGACAAGTAGAGCGCGTACCTCTACTAAGCGCTTCAATTTTTGTTTCCAACAAAAAAGTTCCTATTTTTTTTTTAAAAGCTCAGAAATTAACGTAAGTCTATTTTTGCAATAAAATAATTTACGATTGTCACATTCAGGCGTCCCCCTCAAATGCTAGCAGCCCTCAGTGCTATACCAAGCTCGGAGGTGTATTGACGTATGCTTTGAACATCCCAATATGCCGAAGATCAAGCGCGTCCTGGCAAAGCTGAATCTGTTTGAATGTTTATTTGTATGTTGGAGACATGACGCAATAATTAGCGCAGATAGAGATCGAGGCCAAGTTTAAATATACCATCCCCAAAAGTCAAAACAATACAAAAAAACGATAATACTCAAGCCGAGGACTGCTTGAAACGCTTCGTTTATTAGCTATTACACATTAGCGCAAAACCACATCGGTACCACGGACTGTGTACAAGTGAAGATCATCGACTTATATAGGGAGGAATCTTTTTGTAGGAACCTTGGCCCAGAATAAGCTTTCGCATCTACTATCAACGTCTACTGCGAACGCTTACAGTTTTTTTAAGACTCCATAGAAGTGAGCACGGTTCCCTGTGCTATGTCCCGGCATTTATTTCGACCGACCCGTCATATTGACCAACGCCCAATGGAAGCATCCATATACATTCCACCAGTTAGTCCTATTTTGCTTAGTCCTCCGTGCAGACAAACAGTAGCAAGAACCAGGCGGGTGCTGATGTGGCACTCAAGTAGCACCTTTGAGCGGTGTTTGTCCGCTCTAAATAATTCTAACGCAGAAGTACAAGTTTAGCAAGTAGGTTTTCGCCGATGCTGTCTGCGCGTGGCACAGGGCTAGACTTGATCTTCTCTTGAAATAAGTGTACGCATCTATTTAGAAATATTAATCAGAGGCCTCCAAAGCGCTAGAAATAAACGGAAGTACCTCTAATACATACAGACACATAGCTATGCCAGCTCGAGCTCGCCAAATTCGCTTATACCAGTCTAATACTTATATCTAATATTCTGCCCGTAGATTGTACCGACGATTTTAGACGTGTAAACGTGAAGCTTAAGTTCATTTGCGTCAATTAGCAAATCGAGTCGTTGAGGAGTCTTACTGGGGATGTTAGCGAATAGAGGAACTTTTGTGATCTACGCCATTTATCTTTTACTCACTCCTTAATCCGAGTATGCCAGACCTTGTTAAGGCTTTGCTACCTGGGCGTGGTGATGCCATCTATCGTCGTAAAGAGCACAACGTACACAGCAGGTAAATTAATTCCTACGCAATGATTTCGGACATGCAAGGCGAAAGATGCAGCCATCAATCAAAGGAGCCGGCTATTACGCAGCCCTATGAGCCGTGCAAAGGTGTGAATCTCAAGATATTTCAAGGCTACATCCATATATCGTAAACACTAATATGTACAGTACGTTTTTAACAGATATACAATAAGCTGTTGTGATGCCCGGTCTTCTGTTACATCACAAAATAACTGGCATTCTCCTGAGCCATTGCAAACATGTCAAAGCAAACATTGCTGGTAAATTCTGCAAGATACGTTGACGCACATCTTCAAATACTTCTAAATTAGCGGAACGACCTGCTCGGATGCGCTTTGTGTCTATGACAAATTTTCATGCAATGCAAGAAGAGGTTTCGAACAAGGCCGTAACTGTCGGCACACATTTCGATTAACAGGACAGTAAAAACCTGAAACGATTATGTTCTCAGAACTGAAGCATAATAAAACATGGCGAAAAGTTTATCCACTTGTATATATAATTTGTAAGAGCCGCATGATTTAGAGCCACAAACTGTGTTTGCTTAAGTCGTTAGACAAATATCAATTTAATAGAAATATTGCGTTAGCCGTCCGAGTATAGATTTTTGCACTCAAGTCCAAGTGCCCAGCTTCTAGGTGATAGCAAACGTTTCTTCTTTACTTTTTCTACCTAGTAAATCGGATAGCTATAGGGGCTAGATCACTTACGTTTGGAGAGGCCGTATTAGAAGAACGAAGCCGCTACAGGCCAACGATAGCTGTCGTACAAAAACCATTTTTAAGTTATTGAATTATTACAAAGAGTTAAGGAGCCAGTACAGGGGTGCAAGAGTCTTTGTCTTTGTGCTGGCGAGTGAGCCGCATTTCCTAGGAATCTCTCTAAAACCGTAACTGGTTGCTGGGATAAAGCAGATATCTTGTATCCGTTCGCTAGAATACATTTGATATCTTTCGCAGCAGGCTACCGTTTCGGGCTTTCTTGCTAAACAGGTACTAATAGTCCTGTTAAATCCGCTCAGTCCCGTCGAGAGGCATTGATAACTCTTCTTTCACGCACTGCATCTATTTGTGCATTGCCAAATTAGAAGCGGAAGCCTCTAGCCAGAAGGCAGAATCCTCAATAGCTGCCAAACAGAAACCCAGTGGAGCGAAATCTGCCAGCTGTTAGTACAGCGCTACTTGAAAAGATCAGTTGGTAATAAGAACGCCAGGCGGCTACAACATCCACTTTACGTCTTAGACTTTCCCTGGGAAACTCTTGCGTGCCGGATGTACTTGAAGCCTCGCTACTGCGTCTTCAACTTCACTCAGTTCGAACGAATGACATTTGAAGCGATACTGTTGTGACAACCCGGCGACCAGCAAGCTTAACCAGTCCATCCTTAACAACTACAAGAACTTCAAAGACATCAACATCTGCCGAAGTTGCTTAGTTGTGCCGCATGGCTAGTTCTAGTCCTGGTAAGGTGAGCGGTTTTACGAAAAACTTGTCACTTTTAACTCTGAATGATCCATATCTAGTTTTCGATGACCTCGCTGACAGAGAAAGTACACTCACGTCACTGGAGGCGTCAAAATAGGCGAACTATTCTAGGGATACCTTTCGACGTGGATCTAACACAGTTTGCGTATGGGGTACAGTCAATGCGGTACAAAGTTCAATAGCTTCATTATATATCTGCCACTCAAAAAATGTTCTATTACTGTATTGATTAGGTGAGCGAACGTTTGGTCCTCTTACAGCCCGGCCAAATTTAATCTCAGTCCTATTATGGACCCAACGTCAGTTTGGCTAACTAGTATAAGACAGACCTAATTGCTGGGTCTGTCTGTGCACATCCAACATCGCCAACACTGGCTATGTCTAATCTTAGAGAAAATTAGCCCACTTAATTACATTTACAGAGGATATGAAGCTATAAACATAAACATCCATTCCACCATTTATCAAAAGTAGCTTAGTAATCGTAACTGTAGTCACCGTTCAGAACGCCGACAACAAGATACAATCCAGATGTTCACGCAATCGGAGCATCTTGTAAGCAGAAAACCGTCGGAAACTAGCAAAACTTTTAAATGAACATTTAGGTAATCGATATATTTTGTCAAGACGGCCCACTTCGAGGAGGTACTGGTACTTCTCATATAATATTACATTACTAACGTATATTGTACTATGCATAGAAACTGTGCGAAGAAACCGTTGGCGCGTGAACACGTTCGAAACTTCATTAATTCACCCACCTATCCAACCACTACGTTCTTATTACGCCAAGCACTTCTAGGTCATTGCCCGAGAGTCAGGTTAATCTTTGTGGCTGTTCTAACCACTGCACAAGCAATAGCCATAAATTACTTATGTAAGTGAACTCCAACTATATTCTCATGCACACCCTTTTTAATCTAAGAAAAAGCAACGCTTAACCCCTGAACTACATCCCCCTGCCGAAGGTGGCCTTTGCGAGTACACTTAGTTGAACAGGTCCAAGCGCGTCCCAACAGGCGTTCTGACGGGGGCACCTGTTTTAGGAGAACTGTGTAAGCGATGTTTCTAGAAAAAGCAGGAATGCAGAATGTGTGTGTTTTGTTCGATAGCAGAAGCCGTAAAAGTATTGGAGAGCCCTCTAGAGGGAGTGTGGGTTGACATGACTAGGGACAGCTGATTTATCCGCTACCATTAGCACTTCTACATGGAAGAATAGGTAGTTGCGTCGACAGCGAAGCTGGGGTTTTGATGAACAGCTGTTTGAGAACGCACCAACCCGCTCAATGAGTTCCCGTTCTTGCGAAATCATTACCACTGTCTACTGCGAAGTCCCACATGGTGACCACAGCTACATGAGCGAGTAATTAACTACCGAAGAAGGGCAACCGGCCGCTTTTCCATCGATGTTAGCGTGTGGTAGCCGCCTCCACTTACCTTTCTTCGCAGTTTGCCTACTCGACTAAATAAACATCGCCCCTTTCATCTAATATGATCTCAATTTTTAATCTGCAGTTGCTCTTCTGGATGAAATATTTAAGTAAGGCGCAGATTCCTCACGTAGGACACACCCGATAAACCCAACATATCAATATCGATACGGATTGTTTGTTGCAATTGACTTCCTAGAAGTACAATACTACGTTTATCATAAACGTACCCATATGGATGGATGACCTGAAAACTGACGGAAATTTTGCCAGGCTATTCCGTAGCAGTACATGCTACTGCCACTAGGTAAAAGCCAGTTTTTTTTTACGATAAAACAACAGAGCCGTCATCACGAATAACAATGCGTCCTTTTTTGAAATTCTAGTAAAAACTGGCCTTTACGAATGTTTCTATTTAAGTCACCCCGGACCGACAATCTGTTGCGTCGTAGATAAGTACGAGGCTAAAGAAAAAGCAAGAACAGGTCCTAGCACAATACAACGATACAAATCTATGGCAGTGCGGATTCCAAAGCCTATTGCTGCCGTCCACAGGTGCATTTCTAATGGCCGCTCTGTTTCGATTGGGACTTTAGTAAATGAATCTGATGTGAGTGAGTATACGATCTCATACACGCTCTTTATACACGCCATATGTCACAAAGACAGATATTCTGCGGGGATAATCGAACTGAGGGATTTTTTTCTGGCGTTGTTTGCTATTCAGTTCTTTCAACAATAAAATAGCAGGCTATCTTCGATTTTTCTTACTAAAAATCTTTTATCCTTAGTGCAAACACGAAGCATAGAAGTGATCGCTGCCCTGCTCACGGTTGAAGCATGTCGGTATTTTGAATAGAAGCAAATTTTCACATGAAGTCATGTTCTTGGCGAAAGACACATCACAGTGCCATACTCCTTTCGGAAGGAAGAATACATTATTAAAGACGTTTACTTATATATTCTGCAAAGTGTTGTTCTAAAGACCATACGCCTTCCAATAAGATGGTGTACCAGCTCATACAAGCCAATCAGTGGCGAGCATGTTCTGTAGCCGACGAATATGGCCGTCACTCGTTCCGAGATTTAGACTCGTTCGATTATCATCATTATTGATCAAGAGTTCAAGAAGGTCGGCGTGACAACCTCAACTCTCTTACTCGTGTTATCAAGAAGGCATTGGTGGAATCGTAAAGCGAATCTTTGAAACGAGCCTGGGCCTGTGAGTGCTTTAGGAGCCGAATCGAAGCTATAATGGAAATAAACAGTAGTAATTATATTAAAAAAACACGACCAGCAGTAACGACATTTCTAGCACTGTTCTGTTAAATGTAGTTTCTGAAACAAATAAAACTCATTATGTTCCGACCCTTATATATATATATATATATATATATATATATATATTCACAAACTATTCCCCAAGGAAATACCGACTGATTCGAGTTAAAAGGGGCACTCATTTAACAGACCAAGAGATAGCAACGTCAGTACGGCCTCTAAATTAAAGGACTGACTGACTGACTGACTGACTGACTACAAAAAAAAAACAAACTAAATATTAGTAACTAACTAGGGTAGCTTCGCAAGTTTTTGTTGTAGCTTCTTTTAACTGGACGTATATTGCAGTGCACAAACGAATACTATATGCATATCGTAACATCTCCAAGCCAATAATACAGACGTTGAGATCAGAACCGAAATACCACCAAGGCGGAACAATTCTCTAAAAAACTGATTTGTCTACGCAAGATATGTTACACTGTATATAGTTCCGCAGTGACTGCTTAAGTAAGGAACACTACGTCAACAGTTACAGCAGTAAATCCACGGACGGGTGGGGCTTGTTAGGTACACCCTGCATATTATATAGTGCAATGGTGGCGTAATGGTACGGGTCAGGAAACTGCGAAAGCCAGGATTTCGGCCGAAATGAACTCCTCTGCTGACCGGTGATGTGAAGTGGATCCTCCAGGAGTCGTACTTTGCAGGTAGGAAAACGCATAGTATAAGGAGAACAGAGGCGATTTCGCCGCTTCCTGTGAGACCGCATGGCTCTCGGTATTTATGACTGGACTAACTGCTTCCCTGTTCACGACGACACGTTAGGCTACGCACGTCTGAGTCCTGATAGGAAAAGTGACTTCTGGCGAAAGACGTCTCTCTAGCATTTACGTTAGTGCCACAAAACGAAAATAACTACCCTTATACGAAATAACGCAGGGTACATGAGTCGGTAGTAATAACAATAGTGTCATATATAGCTGGCTGAGTTCATTGATAACTGAAATAGCTAGTAATAAAACCTCCGCGCACGCATCGCGCTAGTTAGTCGATACGTTACTTTGAGATACTGGCTGCAAAAGTCTTCGATGCAATAACCGCTTATTGCAGAATGCAACCTCGAGCGGAGTGAGCAAAGACCAGTAAGGGCTGATTGTACACAATATAAAAGGCACATTGAAGATAATCATTGTTGAGCTCATTGTTCATAATATCTCGACGAACTCTAATGTTGAAAATACCCAGGTTTCATCCTATATATATATATATAGGATAAAAGCTGGATATATATATTCTAATATAAACTTAGAACCGTTTCCCCAAATACCTCATGACTAGATAAGATAAACTTAAATTTCAAACCTTGTTTTCTATCAACCAACACATTTGTTATCAGGGATAGTTGCGCTAACCAAGGTGAACGAGGTAGTATCGATTGGCAAGTCGCGTAATATAGCAATTACCCTGTACAGGAAATGATTCCTCGACGAAATGCACGTCACTATTAACACGATCGTTGATATCGACATTTTTTCAGGACAAGAATATTTTCCAAAAAAAAAAAGATCACAAGCTTGAAGTACGCGTACATGCCCTATGTAAGTAAACATATCTCACCGAAAAGTAGCGCCTGGCTCACCACGACGATTCCGCCAGCCGTGTGATATAGCGGTAGACACGTATAGAAAATATCGTTACTTTTCACCGGCATAATGTTGCTGGCGATTGAGGCCATTGAAATGAAGCGCGACTGCTTGATAATCGCAGCTTTTGGAAGACCAGTCGTGCCTGAAGTGTAGATGTATACCAGTTTATCTGAAATCGACAATTAAGGCGATCAGCTAATTTAATTAATGTCTTGTCGAGGCCGTAAATTAGTTTCATGCATAACAAGCTACAGCATCAGAAGTGTTTCATATTAGTCAATAACGTTGCCAGTTGGATAGTACCGAGGTATCGCGCGGCGCGATAATAGCCGTTTATCGAACGCTATAACCTTTAATTAACCTACTCGTTTAAAGATGCCTTTGCCAAACGTCTGCAGTAATAGATATGTACTGTCTTAACTATCGACTAGATTGCTAGATTTCCAGATATCTTGAAAGGCCTCGCCAATAAGGTCGCTTCTGCTGTGAAGATCACTTATTTGACTTTTATCAATACCGCAGGAGCGTATGTGCTACTAATCTTCCTGTGCCCAACCCTAGTGCGTGCAGCTGATTCATGCCAGTTCGCCAGCCAGGTGACCCTTAAGTGTGCGAAAGGCTCCTAAGGACTAGCTGCGGTCAATCTTTGCCACCTCTACGTGCTCGTCCGTAGCATTGTTTATGGTTCAAACTTAATTCTCCGATCTAGAATCGCTAAAACCTATCTTGGTAAGCGCTTTCAGATCCGCCTCCCGATCTTATACTCAAATCTTGTCCTTTTAACTGCACCATTCTAGCGAAAAACTTATGACGAAGGCAGGTTTTTTGAGTTCCATGATTTCGTTGCGCAGAACTGACGAACAGGAACTCTTACTAACGGACCTAGTTAGAGCATAAGCAATGACATGGCAATTCAGAAAAGGGTGTAGTACGTTTCAAACCAAGCGTGCAGATAAAGCGCGCAGGTAACAAGTATCGAAGTTGCTAAAAATACATTGCAAACTGCCGAACACAAAGCACCACGCCTAGTTTTGACCTAGCCTGACTGGAGAGGAACTATTTTAATGTAAGTGCTGAAAATGTTTGATTTCAACGTTTATCTTACGAAAATTAAAGCATAAATTAGAAATTCTATTTTAGGTATAAGCCTACCGTGAAGTGTTAAAACTTTCCAAGCATTAAAAATAAAAATCGAAAGTCTTCGATAGCTCAGGCATTGCCAAGGAACTCTTGTTGCGAAGGTTTGGTTGCAACAAACGAACACGATTCTCTAAATGTATATTATGTCTGAATCGTTTCTATTAGGAATTGGCTATATATTACTCACGGGAGATAGCGTTCACTACATATACGTACTGCATATAAAGATCGAACGTGCAAGAAGCTTTTCTATTCAATCCGAATGGCGGATAGCAGCGTGACGTATTAAATCCTTGAAAAACTGTCACAATGGCCTATGTAGACGTACAGCTATCTGGTAGTTTGGTCCTATTTCCAATAGTAATAAAACAGGCTTGGCTTTTCAGAGGCGGGAAAGGTGGAACGGAACGAAAATGTCTATCTGGTGTTTAAAATTTTCCCTCTAGAACATTTTCTGCAATATCAATACAAGGGAAGGACGAGTTAAGGACGCCGTATATTATAGAGAATTAATAGATACTTAAATTGCCAAGTCAGATCTGTTCTAAATGTGCATAGCTGAAATACACAGTTAAATGATTGTATAAATAATCAATCCACCATTAAATTGCTCAACTTTCAAATCAAAAGCTCATGATTTCCGTGATCGCCCAACAACTGGTACACCGGATCTTAGTCCCTGCATCCGGTTCATTTAACATGAACCGGTTAGTTAGATCTTATCTTCAAAAAACTTTCTCGCAAATACAAATGACCACATACACCCGTTATGTCTCTTCAGATTGAATATTTAATGATTATAATAATATAGTTCTACGAAAGTGTGTGCTAGTAATGAATGCTAGTAATGACAAATTGGAAGCAAGAAGAATTCCGTCCGCTCAGCGACCAATCGGGGTAGCAGCAAAAAGGGCTTCTATGAAGTATCTTTCGTTAGAAGGCATAGCCGCGAAGCAGAGGATTAAGCTAACATTTCTGATGGTCTTGGTGCACAAAGTAGCAATCTTTTACGAAGACACAGCAAGGACGTCCTTACTCCTGTGGCAGAAGTTTTACTTTGCCTTAATGTCGCGGCGAAAACATAGAAAAGCAGATTGGCTGAATGTTTGCCGTGCCGATCTTTTCAAAGCGTCAACGCTCGGTCGAGGCTAGACAGGATTCGAGGATGGCGTGAACAGCATTACACGCAGCTACCTGGGGTTATGAAGGCGATTTCCACTTGAAAGGTTAACCCATCAAACGCCGGTGAGCACTATCACTCTAAAATTGCTTCCGCAGCTCTTTTGCCACAAAGCTTCTCTTAAGGCCTGCGACGTGCTTGTTTACGGTTTGGCAACTAGACAGAGAATCGAACTTGCATCAATCTTGAAGCATTGATTTTCCAATGTGATGAAAGGAATTACCCGATATATAGAGGTGGTTTTGTGAACGAGGTAAAAGGTGTCCCTTAGAAGTTGCGCGACACGAAAAATAACTTTTTCTTTAATTGAATGGATTTAAAAAGCACAACGAAATGCGTGCTATAATATCTGCGTGATTTTCAGGCACAAACGCTTTCAATCAAGCGATACCCAGATAAAGCCAGCTTGGCCTGCTAACCAGCAAACACAAACAATTAGAGAGTTGCACAGTTCCACAGTTATCCTTGTGTTCTATAAAAGGAGTGATTCTGATCATCATCTGTTTCAAAAGGAGTGCGTCTCTTACTACAAATGTACAATACACCCGACAGACACGCGTAAAACGGGGTCTATCTGAACATATCTAAGGATGGGCAACTCCCAGGTAATTTAACTGAATTATCTCAATAGAAGGACTCATGTCAGAGTTATCTTTCGTGCAGTCGTAGCGAATACTGTAGTTTGAACAGTATGTTATAACAAAAAAAAATCATATACTTTTCTAAAACAAATGTAACCTTCGTCTAGTGTAATATAGTTGCTCATTCTCGTTTTCCTTATTTCCGTTCTCGAATAACGCAGTAAGTTAAGACTGCATGGCACCTATGCAGTTGTTCTAAGTTTTGATTGTGGCTACTTCGCACCGACTAAGGCGTATAACTTTTCCTGAAAAACGCCGAGAGCTTTTTGAGATGTTCAAGTGAACTCACGTGTGAATCATTACGTCACAATAGATAATCAGTGAGGTAACAACATTCAGTGAAATTGAAAACTATAAAACCGTAAGCCGTCTTAATTTGATACTCACAGTTACCTACAGTAAATATAACCGGCTCTTCCACAAGCAAATCCGTATAGCTCCTGTTACAAGCAGACTTTGAAATTGTTCATAAAAAAATGAAAACGTCAGCTCATTTGCGTTGTCATATTTTTTTATTTTGTCAAATGTTTGTCCATATTACATATAGTACCATAAATACGTACCATGAATGGACCCCTTGTAGTTCAGCTGTGGCCTATCTGACGAGCTGGTCTCAAGCAGCTTTTCAAGATTCATCGAATGGAGTTCCGGAGCAACGTCTGCCGTTCCATAGCAGAAAAACTTCAGCTCCTTGTTATGGGCCAGTATTTCGCCAGCAATGTCGTTCATGCCTAAAAATTGAAACGATACCATTGGTTAAACAGTTCAAGTAGAAGTAATTAGCAGCAATTGTTTGTAGCATAACATAACTCTATAATAGCGTTTTAGAAAGGGGTCAAGAGAGGTGCGAAACTACTGTTATTCTGATATGGTTTCGAACAAAGTTTCATTATTTACTACGATAATGAATACTGGTTTGGGTAAATTAACGTCGTCACCCCCTTTCTATAAGGAAAAATGGGTAGCAGGTTTTGTCGATAACCGTCAATTGTTAGCTTAATTCAAGGGACAATATTGAGTGATCACTGATCGAGTACAAAATATACGGAAGGCCAACGGGCCATCGGTTTCCCATACAAATTAGTGTGTGTAGCCTATGGATCGCACGGTCTTACGCTGGTCAAATGTATCTATTCTAAATACAGCTACCCTACATACGGTCGAACGCTGAAAAGGTCCTATCGGAGCTAAATTTGAAAAAGCTTCGCAACTAAAAATATCCTATTAGTCTATATAAAACTATTTTCCGGAGCCCGTCATTTTTCTGGAGCTCGCTAATCGTGTTTGGGGAAGCACGTGGGCGCTATGCAGAAGCAACATGCCGCCGCATATCCGAACGCTGTGTACGTTAGTATACAGCGCAATGAAGAAGACTTGATTTGAAATATGGCCACTAATTAAATGTGTTTCATCGATGCGTTGCTCCTGCATTTAATACTGAATTTTTACTCTCAAGGACGTGTAGTATAACGACGCAAAAGTTTATCAGCTCTTGCGTTGTAATATGCCTAGCCAATTAGCTTGATTGATTTTTTAGCCAATTTCATTTGAAAGATATTCGAAATTAAACAATAGGGAGAATTGTTTAAACAATCAATAAGACATTGATACGCATTGTAGTGGTGATTTTCTTGGAAAAAAATTGTTTTACCGCGTGAGATGAAATTGTCTTGTGGGCAAATTTCCATTTCATTATTTACTACGATAATGAATACTGGTTTGGGTAAATTAACGTCGTCACCCCCTTTCTGTAAGGAAAAATGGGTAGCAGGTTTTGAAATCGAAATAATCGGGCGTAAATCGAAATACTGGACCCTGTGTAATTCCGTCAAAATTTTGATTGATCTTTTAATAAACCATAGTGACTAAATACTGGCGGGGCCTAAATCGGATTTCGTCTCTTCAAAAGAGAAATATTACATCAAGACTCTTAGTTCAAGGTGATACAGGTACAGAATGATCCAGTGTACATAGTGTGCAAAAGCTACGCCATTGTAAGTCGATCAAACTCTAATAAAACGATCATTAAAAAGCAACAAGACGCGTTTGTCGAAGGGTGTTAGGAAATAATAGTCTAAAACCAGCAAAATAGCAAATGCCGTGGAACCGATTTTCGCTTGCCAGTCGGCATTGTAGCGCTGATCGGACGCTGTTTAATATGTTTTCTAAAAACCGCTAGGCTATTGCGTGCCCAGTATGGATGGAACAGTATGGGAAAATAGCAATTTTGCAATGATTATAATCGGAAGGGTGCGCAGCAAAGTTCTTCATCTTGGGTGTAGAGGATCTTGCCACGATTAGTGTTTGATTTTTTAAAAATAGCGTAGGCCAGCATAAACATTGAATTTACGTCAGCTTACGTAATTACGACAATCTAGTTCATTTACCGGTCAATCTAAAATAAACGCAACATAATAGATAATTGCCGCCAACATGAACAAACAAGAATCTTCTTCTTTATTTAGCAGGGTGTAATGTGTGTGCCAAGACCGTCTTCGTAGTCGATAGCAGACGATTGGGGCTGTTTCTGTTATTCATTTATCTAGCCAAGGGAAGTTAGTCCCGAAAACTCGAAGTATCAAACATGTAGCATCTTTGAGGATGTCGGACTTGCATGTAAAGCAGCTGGTGTTACCGGATCCTTTTTCAACCAAGATGGCGCTACTTGGAACAGTCAGGCATCATTGTCGAACTCTATAAAGCAGGAAGGAACACAAATAATCGGCTAATTTTGCAGTAACAGTACCGTCGATGGACAAACTACACTTTTCTAAACCAACAGAAAATTGTGTTTTATTAGAGTCACTACGTTAAGCTATATTATGGAATATCTTACCATTCTTAAAGGCTGTATGGGATAGGACGTTTTGAACTTTCCCGAAGTAAGATTGCTAATTTGACATAGAGGCTCAATGAATAATCTTGTTTCAGGCCTCAGCCAACCTACCAAGAATACGTTGAAACGAAATAAAGCTCACTGTGCCGCATGCCGTTGTTATCAACAGCATACCATATATTGTTGTCGCTAAAAAAAAATGTTGACAACCGTATCGGAATAGCACAATAAGCAATGCTTTTTCACAGATGCATAATCTTCATCATAGTTACGATAGTATAAATAACTCTTTACGTCCGAATCATGGGTAACTGCGAGAATCACATAGGGTCAGTGTAATAAAGTTAGCTTTCAAGAACAACTTCTAAATGTGTCAATATTTGGGGCATTCATACCTTGGCTTCGTACGATTCAGTAAAACGTCATGTTATCGAATGGTCACCCATGACATAGGCAGTCTGGAAGTAAACGGAACATCGCCTCTTCGTGCCATAGCCGCAGATTTTAATAAAATAAAAAGTGAGAACCTTATAGTTTTCTCGAATCACTAATTTTGTCATACGAAATTACTGATCCCCACTAGAGTCCTGTTCCAGGTAAAAAAAAGACCAACGACATAAGCATAATTGATTGGTATTTTTACAGACTAGAGCAATTTCCTCTTCTTGTCAACGGTCGTTCTTGACGGTCAGATTAACTAGATGTTCGCTCACCGGATCTCCCGGTCCTCTACATATCGGGACACATGATGGGTTTGAACGGATGGTCTAGCAAGCAGAAGATAGTGCTTCCCGCTTTAGGAATTATCTGTATAGGCGTCCCCTAGCAACAGCCACCGATCTGAACGAAGGTTACACCAATAACGCAGTATCAACCTATGTGCATAGCCTTTGAGAAAAACTCAGTATTGTTAAAACTTTTACGTTTAATTTATGTAAATGCAAAAGCATCGATTGACCGTGTATTTAAACGCGGAGCATCATTTTTGTATTAGAGACAACGAGACTAACATGAATACCATAATAAACCTGTGCGTGCCAACGGTACCGCCTTTTTTGATACAGACCCATGCTCACTCTAACTTACGGTCAATATAAATCATTGCAGTTTAGAATGGGCCTTGCCATATCAAAATCATTATCGCATTCATAAATCGGATGGGTAGAGCGGTGCAGGTAAACGCGACGTTCAAGATGGCTGCCAGTTTCGTCCAGCCATTGTTTAGAAATTCAAACTGGCCGATAGATAGGCACGTATCTGTGGTGAGTATTTAGGCAGAAGGAAACTTTAGCAGCGTCAAGAGAAAACGCCGTCTAGGCAAACGTACTATCTGAATGTGAACTTCCTTAATTTTTCGATGCAAGACAAAAATTTCGGGTGACTTTAGCAGCTTTTATAGTTGAAGTTACTTGTCACAGTAATATGTAATGTGCGCATTGCGTCAACGAGCGGCCCAAGAAGTCAATCGAGCGATTCTGCATCGGTCTTCCTCTGAAAACCACGATGTCTGATGGTTACAGAGGCTTATACCGCTCCTATACAGACGAAATTCTGGATAAATCCCTATACTATACTTGTTATTGTCGTGTGATAAGATTAAAAAATGATATGGACGTAACTAAGCAGACGCAATCATATAGTAATATCAAGTGACTCGTTTAGAAAATAAGTTCTACCTCAGCCAGTTAATATTTTTGCCTAAATATAATACTTTTCGAATTTTATATCAAGATCTTCAATCTATTCTCAAAAGCTTCAATCTATTCTCTCGGCACCGTCTTCCACAATCAAGTAAATATTGTTGGAACTCTGCCGTATGTCCTTTTGTCAGGGACGAATTGGCCAACGCGTAATTGTTTTGAATCCAATTCGATTTTTCGACATTTCATATAGCCACTTGTTCCTCTATAGAGCGCACGCTATCCGGCATGGTATTCGTACTGCGAGGCCTTTTCGGTAGAAATCAGAAGTTGGCGCTTTCATTCGTTAGCTATAGCTTTTAGTTAAATACGGGAACTTAGATAAACGTCGCAGTTATTCCAGTAGCTCAAATTATGACAGAGTCTGTTACGAAAATTCCGTCACGTTGCTAACAGATAGCTACCGGCACGCTTGCAGTGATCCACCAAGGGCTTCCGCCGCCCACCTGCGCCAGGTAACGGCAGCAGCGATGCAAATATTAAAACTAAATGTTAAAAATATCGAAAGAACATAATCCCGAGATATTATGAAAGCAAACAGACACGACAGGTATAGAACGACGTGCGTTTCGGCAAGGCATATTAAAAGGAGGCAACGTCTGTAGATAAATTGTTGCTTGCGGTCTTCTACGGATCAGACGCGCCGCGATATCAGTCGTCGTGATGCTCACGTGAGCGCATTTGTTCAGGCGAGGCGCGGGAACCCGAATAAATCCGTAGCACGCAGAGACAAATTTCGCAACAATAAGTCGTCGACACACGTTCCGAGCTATAGCGATGGTATTAAGCAACTGACCACTCCTGACGAAAGTCTACTATCATAGAAGGACAGGCGTATGGTGGCGGTAAAATGTAGCAAGCGTCAAGAAAAATTCGAAAGTACAATTTTCATGGTCGTGGTAATAGTGATAATAAACTTTATTATTATTATTATTATCAATATATTAACTTATTATTATATATATATTAACTTGTATTATATATACGAGAGATAGTTGAACGCAGTCGACCAATATATATAGATGAGCGTTGCAATAACTTACTCTCCAAATAGCAACAAGTTCTGCCACTTTTAAAATACCGGATGGTAGATGTTGACACGCGGCTGTTTTCAGTAAACTGGAAAAATACGGGCACACAAAACTACGTCGTCCTGCGTGCAACGATACTATGGTTCAACTATAGTTCAGACAACGATAGCTATTTGGTCCAATTGCAAAAACTTGCGGTTTTTCGTATAATCTATTTGAAAATTCTGCTCGGCGGAAACGCATCTATTACAAAACAAAAGGGTTGATATATTATCGATTTAAGGATGAACTATAAATGGGCAACTTGGTAATAACTTGTCAATAAGATTTGGGGATAGGTCATTCTTACCTGATAGAAGCTCTAAAAATTTAGGTAGAACAGTTAACTTTGCCGGCAAGAGAACTGTGTCGTACAAATATCATGTTCTCATCGAAAATAACTCCCCGGAGATATCGACTAGCTAATATATGAGTAAGCTTTCGGGGTAGCTCATTTGAGTGCAGATACTCTCATTCTATCGTGCTAACATTATAAAAAACAAATAAATTTATCGCCAGCTACAATTCCTTGTTGGTCTTGTTAAGCGCTTCAATATACAACCTTAGGCCAACAGCATACGACTTGCAAGGTTCTTCTCGCGAAGACCAAAGACCGCCACACGAAAATGGGGGCCCAAGGGGAATTCCTGGAGGAGTAAAAAGGGGAAAATGACCCCGAGTGAATAGACAGCCACCAGTCCTAAATTTTGCGAAACATCATTTTTCAAGCGCGGTCGAGGTTGTGCGAAAATCAGTATACGTACTCTATAATGATACACCTTTGATTACCTGCACCCGCCCAGTCGCAGTCTGATTTCAAAAGATAGAAGGCTGCCGAACTGTCCTTAATAAATCCCTATTATTCAGGCCAAAAGAGATGTATGGTTTCTTTGTTTTTTTTTTTTATATACATAGATGAATCAGGAAACGTCAACCACGAGTTTGTCCACAGGTCACATCCGTTTTGGATTGGAAAGTTCCCATTGCACAAACATAGGTCCGCTGCCCTTGTTTATAACGACCAAGCATCAAATGAAAAACGTTTTTGTTTTTCATTTAAAACGACTCATTGAAGTTTCTGAGTACCTTGTGCGTAACGCAAAAATGCATTGTTGAAAATGAAGTTAGTAATATGTGTCCCTTTACCTCAACTGTTCACGACGATAATGGTGGCTATATATGACGTATTCTAAAGTCAAATCACTTACTATTTTAATCGAGGTTAAAATAAGTTCAGGAAGAGGCTTGATATATGTACAAGTGACATGTTTACGTAGCTAATAGGCGAAGAACTAAAACAACGACTTTGTAGACATGTATTGTATTAGTCATTAATTACTAAACATGAGTCTGTAGTTAATGCCTATTCCACTAGATAAAGGTGACTTGGCCATGAGACGACGTAAAGGGGTTGCTAGAGTGAGGTAAATTCGCAAATTGAGGATGCCACGACCAAATCATAAAAACACCTGGGAAATCTTCCTTCAAGCAAACGTTCAACAGGAAGTCCATAAAATATGATGATGCCTGGAATCGAGCTGCGTCCAATGTTACCTTTGCATAGCTGAAAGTGTGCATATTTTAACAGTAAACACGGCGTTGCTCAATAGGTTCGTAACTTTCCGAGGAAAAGAGTGTATTTGAAAGTTTGGAAGGCGAGTATATACACTTTGAAGGTAACCACAAAAGATCGCAGCTTTCCAGATATCATGGAGGACTATACGGTTAATTCGCACAGCGAAAAGTCAAGACAGAGATGTTCCGAAAAAAGCGTTTAATGGATTCACATGCGTCTGCTACTTAGCCTGAGATATAGCAACAGCCTATGGAAGAAAGGACATGTTTCAGGTATTTTTATAGTAATGCTGATCAGTAAACTGCTCAGTGACGTAAGTTAAATGCAAAAGCTTGTACAGTAATGTCGATTATGTTTTTATCATCCTTGAGAATGGAATGAGAATAGCCCTACGTGCGGAGCACGCGGGAATACGTAGGTATATAGATTAGAACGCACGTATATAGTTTTCGCCGCAGTCAAAAGCGAGTGTTTTTAATGAATCTCAGTTGACTGATGGTAGGTTCAAACCACTCGGAATTAGAGTGAGACAGTCTAGTCTCATAAGGTCGTCCAGGGCTTCATCATCTTTGCTTTCAATAATTATCTTTGTAGTCCTAGTTGCAGAAAAAATATCCCTTCTTCTATCAGACGGTGGCTCGGATGTTAGCACTGTTGACTGTGTCTGTTAAAACGATTTCCGAGAACAAACACTATTTGTGACTTCATTGAGGTGAACGTTATTTTTGCAAGGATACGGACTTCCCATACGACCTAGCCTATCTTACCGATTACATTTTGTTAAAAGAATGTTCAGCTCAATATAGATTTCCGTTACGAAAATACAATTACGAGTATATACCGCCGATCTTTTTGTATACCTTCTTTTTAAATGGGTTAAACTTGGAACTTATGCATGAAATGGGGTCATGTTTGCCTAAATTGAGTAAATCTATGTTAAAGTGGCTCGAAGAGTGGTTGTCACTAAAATAGCGTCACATCTATGAATATATCATAACTATAGAGCTCTCTTCTCTGCTAGTCATTAACGATCGTACTTCAAGCAAAGAGAGTCAATGAAAGGCTTAATATGCAATACGTGCCGCACCGTAAAGAGATATTTCGTATGTGTTAAGTACGCTACGATTGTGGCGGAATGTACACGATTTGAGATGCACTAGTCTTATTTTCAAGCTGGGTATAAGGATCAGGGCAGAATTTCCAGATGTGCAACGGGTAGTTTTGAGTTACCTGCTTACATTTTGATTGTGTGTTGCTTGATGTGAAGAGCTTGATGTGATTATGTGAGCAATAGAAGGCTGGAATGAGGATAGGGCAGTTGTTTCACCAAGTTGTTAAAAAAGCGAGAATCTTTGTTGTTCCCACAAGATTGACCTCCTGGGGCTGTTGCGAGCAAACGATATACCTGACAGGGACCTGTGATTCGCACTAGCGGAACGTGACAGGGCTTTAAATAGGTCTGCCTGTTTATTGCCTTTGGGGCAACGTTTTATATTATTAGAAGTTGACAAGCGCTCTGCTTTCATTGTTGATTGGCAGGGGAATTTACCAATAAAGCAAATGGTTTGAGCCCCGGGGGGCTTCGTGTATATGTAAAAGATGAAAAGATATGAAAGTAATAACAAGAATACCCATATATACATTTTTATTAGCTTTGTTATTCGCGTTTAACTTAATTATTCTGCGCTTACACATACTGCTCTGTAAGGAGAATATCTTCTTTTTAATAATTTTTCATTATTCTATAATAAACTTTTTCATTTTCCTTTACAGGTTGCTATTCATTTAACGTTCCATATCTATTTTCGTTACATATTCCAATACGTTAGATTTTTTTTATATAAAAATAATATAATTTATATATAGGTATTCTCATGACCTTTTAGCAATTTTCTTCCATCTAATAATTTACTTTTTGCTTAAATTCAGAGAGTAATAACGGTGCGAGAGAAAGAGAGAATGCACGAAACAACTATATCCTAGCTTCTTATTTAAAAAAGAAGCGTATTGGACCTATGTATGTGAATCACATCTAGATTATTTATAATCTTTTCAGCTTTTTTTTTTTTTCACTAGTTTGTTTGCCTATTTAATTAATATTTTTTTTTATTCAAGTATGAATCTAGTGCTTATTTATATAAACATTTAGAAAAAAAAATGACGACAACGACTCGCTTAGACGCATGTCACTCACTATTAATTCAAACATATCCAAAGCAATAAACTTCTCCCTCTCATTTGCTGGGATATTTACGTCTTTCTGTTCCACTATCGTCAATCCTAAAATTACCCAAAATCCACAGATCATATACTGATGATACAAGGTAACTAGAAACATTCTTTTTGCGGACACGTAAGTGTCTAACGGAAATAAATATAATTCTGGTGGCTGTCCCCCGCATCCACACTAGTGTGCCACACCGACCGATTCTTACCACAGTCGCTGGATGCTAACTTCCAGGAGAAATGTATCTCTTTCTTCATGTCTTGTCAGCAAGTGTATTAAGAAAGAAAAGAAAAACTTACTTGATCGAAATGAAATATTTTGGCATAATAACTTGGATAGAACTAAGGATGCTTATGTCTTTTTAGGCGCCCGTAATAGCCTAGTGGGAAAAATATTTGCCTGGCAACCTTGGGAACACCTCGTGGCGCAGGTTCGAACCCGAGCAAACGGGACAGATCCCGTTTCGTGCGGCGAACCAGCCGTCCGATAGGGTGCCTAATGGCAACACCGGACGTAAAACATCGAAACATAGGGGCATCCACCATATAATTCGACTATCTCAGGCACGTAGAATTTCAAACGTCACAATGTTAACGACGATTCGACAATATATTTGCGATTGATAGTAATAATTGTACGATTAGCCACCCACCGGAAGCCTGGTTGGGTCCGAAAACGAAAGCCTTTGCGGGTACACTGGACAGAGAATGGACGAGTGGTTGTAGACGCAGATTGTTATTGACGAGGGCAGAAACAACTCCAATTTTCGAGAGGCCAAGCCACATCATGACGAACTCGGGTCGTGAGTCCATGAAAAGGCACACCTCATCGCCAGGCTTGAAGCCCAACTGGAGGAAACAATTAGCCACTCGGTTGGATTGCTCCTCTACCTGCAAAGACATTGAAAAAGCCAGTTTAGATACACGCTAAAATACTCTATAGAGCAAATAGAACTATAGAGCGAACCAAAGAAGATTTTAATTACGTCTCAAAACGCTAAAAACAGACACACACACACAATTGTATATCATTTTTTCACCGCACAACTTATATATAACTTTTATAATATTTATAATGCTGAAGTTGTTGTGAGCTAATGATGTCACGCTTGTGCAAAGCACCGTGCAGATCCAATTGGCCATATTAACGTTTATGTACGTTAGTTGTTTCCAATAGAGCGTTGGAATTTACGAAACACGAATGCTACCAAGCTTTAGATACTGTTGAACAACAGGGCAATAAAGGCCACTGAGGTCTATTGTATTCGTGAATACAATGTACCTCTATTTATTAAGTACAACTATTTATTAAGTAAGCCACTTTTCCCCACATGAACCCTAAATAACAAAATCAAAACCCTAATTCGGGACATACAACTAAATCAGCCTAACACTACTTTTACTCGATTATAGGCCAGTCTTGGAGGTAACTGCCTCGCACATTTTATGTTAGGTACAATGCACCGTCGCTGTTTGCTGAACTTCGCGAATACGAACTTGAACAAAACGAACATCAAAATCGATATCTGTCATATACCTCGCTTTGTATCGAAATGTTTACTTACTATATAAGTAAATATTTCGAAATTGTTCTCCAGTGGCATGTTCAACATATAGTTATAGAAATTGCGGGATTCATGGCTAACAAAATTTGAGAAACGTTCAGTATTGAATTGGTAGAAATTAGTAAATGGCCCGCTCAGTACAATTTACTGATAGCCGAACTTGCGAGCTATGGCAGACATACTTACGTTGGAGAATGTCGCGTTGGGTAAGTTATATCGCTATAGTTATCATATTCACTGAAACAATAACGTATGAATATCCATTGTATTCTGCCAATTGTAGACTACAAATGTTGCACCATTAACGACAATCTCTGAAAAGCGTCAACGTCCGTTTACTCTGCGCCGAGCTCACTAATGCACGCTATCTATTGGGTTGTCGAGAACGTATAAACGGTAAAAAAATAAAGTAATATTTTTTTACAGTCTATAATAACATTTACAAACTGAATATGCGATATTCTGCCATTTCTCTTATAACACCATTATCCCATCACTGCGGAACCTTTGAGTGTTCTGGGCGAAAAGTTGTGACAAGTGAGTTTCGCATCCCTCCCCTGAAACTAAATTAACACCGTTAATTCCATAGAGACGGAAACAGATGATAGTCTAATGGTGCAAAATCCGGGCCATGCGGCGTACCCACTGAGATTTTTGATCCAACTTCCCCAGACTATTCCCGATTAGCTAAAGATGTATGTGGTTTGACATTGTTGTTCCAGCAGATCTCTTGCTGGTTGTCAACAGTAGGGGTCGAACTCAATCGTTCCGCCAAGTGGCAGCAACATAGGATGCACGGTTCCTTTTGCAAAACACATAAGAATCGCCTTTTTTGGCATGAGTTTAAGCTCTGTAGAGAATATTTTTTCGTGTTTCTTTTTTTCGTTTGTCATTCGTGATCGGAGATGGTTCTATTTCGCTGCGTCTCTGTAGCGTTTTGCAGGTAGGGACACGATCGAGTAAGTTATATCGATTCATGCAGCGTTCAAACATCAAGCTCTTTTTTTCGAATTAACTTTCTACAAATAATTTAAAACTGTTTAGCAGTGGATATTTAGTTCCTTAGCGACATCATAGCCATGAAAATGTCACGTAAAAAATTCGTCAATTTTTCCCGTAATTGCTCGAGTGGTACGAAAAGCTTTCTTCCCACCGAAATTTCTAGAACGAAAGCGAGAGAAACGTCTTTGCCTATAAGTGGAACGTTCTTTTTATGGACCTGGGCAGCCTTTTTTTGCCCTAATCGTAATCCAATTGCGAAATGTAGGGAGTGTTTATAGAAATTTCACTTGTCTTCAAGGCATTCTACCTTCAGTCTAAATAGAGGTATTCCCACAATCTGAGTTCATTTTTCAAATTTCAGTACTCAAATGATACCGAGCCGGTATTAGCTGAGACGCGCGACTTGAAAGCTATAAAGAGCTATAGAAACAATCAATATGTTTGAGATATATATACATATACAGCTCCGATAGCTATAAACACCTCGGTGTTTCTGAACGTGCGGTACAGTAATAACCCTAACTTTTTAATTTATTGCAATACTTGTAAAAAGAAACACCTGTAAATAGATGTTATTTGTTATTGTTTTGAGATAACAGGGTTAGTTTATTTAGTACGAAACCATAGATGAATCTGTCGTTCCATACTGAAAGGCCATCAAAACGATAAGTCTATCACAATAACAGTATATCATCGAAAATTTCGAAATTAATTATGTTTACAATCGCATTATGTAGCACAGACTACTTAAAACGTATAGCTTAGAACTTTTCTCCAGCTGCAATTAGCTACTGTAAAAGCAAACTACGCTCTCAAGCAGAAGGTCAACTTTTGCTACGTAAAAATTAACAAAATTTCAGATACGTATTGTGACAGTGTCAGCTTACCGTTGTGTACCCGGTGGGCGAGTCAGCTGAAAATCTTACTTGCACAACATCACCATGTCTGTCTGTACATTAAGAATGCGTGTACACTGATGTTTAGTCAATTGTGTTACGAAGACATCCACAAGTGACAAACTGCATATGTGTATAAATCGTACTTACATCAAACACCCTTGTTTTAGACACGATAGATTCATCCTTAGCGAAATTTTTAGAGATCCACAAAAAACTACTCAATCTATCCGCTCGAACAGGTACCAGCGTCATCTAGCCATGTTTTCGTCGAACGGACTAATTATAAACATAAGAAAAAAACGCCTCTTTCTACTTTTAGAGATTAGTTCAAATATCGCTCTTCATCGCCATATAGTGTACCTTGATACGCTAAAGTCCTTTGCTGGGTGTTTGCTGCGTATACAAAATCGAATCGAAGCAGATATATATATATATATATATATATGTATATGTGTATATATGTATATATAATTAATAAAAGCAATGTACTTACTTACCTATTGCTATCGGTGTTTATAGCAGTGAATAATACCATAGAGCCTAAGTCGTAAAGAAAATTGCAACCGGATGGTTGGGCTCGCGCTATGAATATACATTTGTTAAAATATATATCATAATGAAATAGGTCGAAACGTCAGAACTGGGACAATAGGAGTATATTCTAAAAGTACGTTATGGTTTATTAAGGAAAAAAATTGACTGCAGAACGAAATCGCTAAGTAAAAAGAACGATCAAAGGATGCCCTCCTGATAAATCGTCACCTCTTTGAAGGTCCATCTAGTATCATCACAGCGAAATGCGATCCGATTGGGCCATCTCTTAACGCTTTTCTCGAACAGTTCTGCCACCGTACGATTGTTCCGAACCGCGCTCCTGAAGTAGACGGCCGTGTGTAAGAGACGTATCAGCCCCCTAAAAATAACCAATCATAATAACAATTATGATAGAGGTAGATGAGAGAGAGTCAACGTAGCCATCTTGCACCGGCCCGTCGGGGTCCAACGGACTTTATCTTTTAATATTTTTATAAAAGGTACCACTATAGCCATAGCTTGCATATGAAAAGCAAAATACATCACAAAACTTAACCATTTTAGAACGGTCGTAGCATAAAATAGACATAGCTTGAGCAGAAGAAGTTATCGTGCAAGTACACATATTGAAGGTAGGCTGTAGAAATTCACATGTTGGTCTCGAGCTCGCAGGCCCTAATCGGAAATGAAATGTAGGACGACCGAACTCGGACCACGTCTAAATTATAGCAAGCCTGTAGTCAATCGAGAACACATGCGGATCTGGCAGCCGTGGGCCCGTTATTTTTAAAGCTAGTATCAATAAATTCTGACCTGATACGAATCATGAATCTTATCAATTGTCAAAACATTTTCTCAGAGCGTAAAATGATAATCTCAAGGTCAGACACTGAAGCTGGATGCCTAAGAACCAGAGTCATCCTCATCAAACATTAGGTACGTTATCTTTCTGAAATACGCTCGTATCTGCCATAGCTGTAACAATCTACGGAATTATAACAAGTTACACGACCTTACGACATAAAGCAACCTTACTATTGTGTTACTGATTACTTTCGCTGATATCTTTTATCGAATTTCATTGTCGTCTGCTTTAGATTATTTCTATCTTCACTAGGAAACAAGGCATAATCAGGAGCACGCGATTCTTGTACTATAGCGGAAACCGCTCACTTACGTCCATGTTTCTCTTCATCTTTAATTGTAGTAATCTCTCAAACAAATACTGGAAACGTATTAGGATAAAATCCACTGCCAATAAACAAATAATGTAATGCTTCTATCTAACTGTGTTGTCAGATCCATGTTGTCTCCTGGGACAAGTGATTGTTGACGAGCGAATATCCTAGGATTAGATAGAGGCAATCTTGAACATTATTACAGTGGACGCTAATCCACGACTTGAGCCATTTGACTCAGACTATCAATTTTAGCCTCCCGCCCTTGTCTGGACTACGTGGTGATTCGTCCAGGGATTTCAAGAGCCGGCATACTCAAATCGACACTGTGCTTCCTACAAATGATCTTGTAGTACGTAGCAGACGTCGCTTTGATATTCAGCAGGGCATGACTAGTCATCGCGCCTACGTGGATAACCTAGGGCAAGATGTCAGCGTTCGATGGAAGCTATCAAATTTTGACGCGACAATCGACCTAAAGCAGTGGGCACTGCGACTGGATAGCACAGAGCTATGACTCAATTCTATTGGGACGCTCTTCTATCACCTATTCACGTGTCGCTGAAAGCCTATATCTCGAAGACTGTGGTAGCAGCCAGAACAACTGAAGGACCAGTTAAGCTCTCACTAAAAACCAGCCTGGCTCTTTTCGATCCTAAGATACCTTTTAACATTGTCGTTCGGTAGTTTCCTCAAATTTTTTACAAACAAAGCAAACCACACCCTTAAACTGACTCAAGACTACTATAATATAAAAAATCACTTATCTAAGCAACGTAGAAAACTTGCAATGAAGTTTTGCAGCTCATTTGTGAACATCGATCTAATTGATGTATTGCTTAGATTATTTCTAACCGACGCTCTATGCCGTAAAAGAGTATCGTCACTGTGAATTATCATGAACTAGGAAACCCCCTGTCTACACGCTAATGGCGAGCACTGTAGTTTATATTACGTCCGCTATAGCCTAACTGTGATCCCGACTGTGGAACTTTTGCGTAACTTTGCGTTAAAAGTTAGCCAAATCCACGGTTTTATATTTGCAATATTATTCGACAATATATTGTGCAATAACCAGTCTTTATTCGACCTGAATATATGCCTAAAGCGGTGTAAGTACGTAAAAGTTGTGTAAGCGGTCAATGTTTTCAGAGGTCTAGCGTGACGTCTGGATGCCCTTAGCTTACTAAACTAAGCCCTTTGACGTACGTATTTTATGTAAGCTTTCCCGCCGTTATTTATACCCGCTTAAAATATACGCAAATGATGTGAAAATATACGGGCGAGTTTGTGATTCGTTCACAAGCGAAATCCATACAGTGAAGTCCGCTAGACTTTCATGAGTGGAACGGAAGACTTAACCTAGTGTTGCATGTGGAAAAGTGCGCCATTTTACCCATTAAGCGTGAGAACAAATATACGTGACGCAAATCTCGGATCTCAAGGTGCAATGAAATAATATCTAAGTGTCATTACGTTCAGAACGTACGGCGGACGTTGTGCTTCACGCAACACAACGTCCCAAATGATATCTGCGCAGCACGAGTGTCAAATCCAGGTCTAACGAAAGGTAGGAGACTTCTATTACAAGTCCGGAACACACCGGCAAAACGAGGAGCATTCAAGTGTTATGTGATGAAGATTTTGCTCAGTTACCTCACCTATTTTGGGTCGTTTGACGATCATTGAAATTAAAAACTAGAAAAAAAACTCCATCGTAAAGTATCGGAAAATTATGTGATATCAGATTCAAAACTGGCATAGATGTTTCGAGATTTTGTAATGTAAGATTTTTTCCCAGCGTGCAATATGCATCCCAAAAATAAACGGTACGCACAAATCTCATTTTATAAAATTGTACCAGACGTTTACGGTGAAATGTGAATATATGTAAATTATCTTATTATGATTATTATAATCATGCGGCCTTTCTTCTTCCATCTACAACGCAGCTGCAGCCGCAGGCAGAAATTTACGACTTGTTAAACCATAGGAAGAGCCTTCGCTTATAGACTATTTCTTTTGTTGCATAGTTGGGTTGATTAAGCCTTATGATGCGTCAAAAACAGGTTGGCCAAAAGATCTTTCGAAGTTTCTCCATGCAGTCAACAATGGGATTACATGCGGCTTTGTTGAAAGATTTAGTTTTCGACAAAGCTTTTAACAAGTTCCTTGTTTAATCTTCCATTATTTATCGTTGAATATTTTTTGCGCCTCACACGTTTGTTGTCGGCTGTATTTACAACCGGTACAAAAACCATCAACAAATACATTAACCTACTGTGGAGTTCATTCACTAAGAGCTCAATTGTTTCAATACGAAATAGCTAAACAATAGATAAACAAGCGTTCGCAGCTCGATTAGATACTGAATCAGATATTTTTTTTCTGCAAAACTCTAATATTCCATGGATCATTTATCAAATTGAAGTAAAGGAATCTAAAGGGGTTATTCTAAAGCAGGTTCTAGACGCTTAGGTTTAGGAGGACACATATCTGTATGCATTTATAGTATATCTGAATAAATAGCATGTCGCAAAAATACCTATTGGTAAATTAGTCTTGTATGATACAACAGCTTCAATATGCCCATTTAAATTAATCTTCTAAAATAATGTTCACAAATTTGCTAAAATGGGGGAAATAACTTTGTCTCCAAGCAATTCGGCATCTATTGGACCCGTTCGAAGCCCAAAAAGGCATCTAAGAATATAAAAGACACAAGCAAAAGAAAATGATTATGTAGATTTTAAAGTTAAGCTCTAGTAGATCTGTTGTTGTTGATGGTGGCTTATTGCTAGTTTTTCTGCCAGCAACGGTAAAAGTCAGTGACTTTGCTAAGCAATAACAATGCACGATCCCTTTCCACCTCTCGCCAAACAGTTAGCATCACCTTCTTTGGCGTCCGTTTACGCTTTCCCATAGCTTACGATCGATATTTCATCACCTGTGATAAAGACCTGGCTCGATTTCGTTATGTTCTTTAGTAAAAGGAAACACTATCGAAGAAATGGTCTTGCGTCAGCCGCTTTTTTAAACGGTAGTTAGCGGTAATGGTGGCGGATGTTTAATCTTTTGACCATCTGATGGTTACCCAAGGCTCGATAATGATTTCGTCAACCCACTCTGAAATCGGTCAGTCACTACAAGGGGCAATTTATGTCATCTCGGATATGTCTATCCGGTTAGAAAACGGCCAATACGTTATCGATGGGCTAATTAATTGCGCACAGTTGTCGATGAAATCTAAATTATTCTGAGCCGTTCATACAGGCAAATCAACAAACACGGTGTGTGTGCGAAACACATATCTGTCGTGCTGAAATATTCTTTTCACAGAAAAATAAAATAGCATACTTTTGTCTTCTTTCAATTCTTTTATGTATTCTTTATCAATACTTGTCGTATTGTACATGTGTTTTTTTTAGTCTGTGCGTCGTATGTCGAGGATGCAATGAATCTAGTGCTTGGAGAATGGCTTTTCGGGAAATATATGTAACTGGTGCGGCGGCTCATGCAGCCTGGCACAGTAGATCTGCTAGCCTATCTGAAACGAAAATTATAGCAGAAAAAATCGCTTGACGTACATAACTTCCGATCGACAGATTTACGTGACGGAATTGTGAAGTCAAGACTATCGAGTTTTAAAAACATTGATTTCATATCGCTCAGTGTATGCGTAGCGTCATAAGATCGCGTAGTTGGATGTCCCGAAAACAAAATCGCTTCACAGAAGAAAAAAAAAAAAGAAAAAAAAAGCATCCGGAGACTCGGTGTAATAGTACAACAGAAACAGCTTCAAGTTCTCAAATCATAAGTCACTTTTTCGTGTAAGACTTTTTTTTTTCGTGTCAAATTGTTATATAATTTCCCGGACAGCTTTGTTGTTGAACATCTTATATCCGGTTGGCTTTCTTATTAGATATCCGCCACTTTCAGCGGTTGTGACATCAATACGCGAAGTACTACTCGTACAGCGCCATACACTATATCATCGCTTGACTACCTCTTTAAAAAGACCAACGCGGTAACTTTCAAGATGGTCGGTGCACGGTGGCGTGATGGCTTCTCTTAGCGCATCGCGTACTTCTTTTTTTGAAGGTTATAAACGACGACGATCAGCGCGACGTCGGCGACAACCCTGACGATGAATAGGTACTACGAGATGAACAGAAAAGCAATGGCCAACGCTCCCGGTAGA